ATAAAAACAACTTCTTCTCGCAGACTACGATTTTTGAATGCGTTTTTTAAATTTAGAAGTGTAAACAGACGCAGTTTAATCCTACACAAAGGTGTTAAAAACGCGCAGGTGAGAATGAATACGACTTTTAATAACTGAGGTCAACTGATTGTTTTCGAATTCCACTAATAATAAGTTACGAATAATTACTCCATTTATAGCTTCGTAATTACTTTTTTGGCTATTTAGTAGAGGTGACATTATTACATTCCATTTCTAAAGAAAGTAAAAATCAATCGAGATGGAGTGAGATGACGCACGCGCTGTCCGACGTGTTTATGTCAGAAAACGAAAACAAACTAGCACAAATTCGTTTAAAAATACATTAGAAAAGTAGTTTTTAAAATGTCCATTTTGTGTTATGCACTGTGACATAAGCACTCTTATCTTGTAGGCCCATATTGCAAAGGATTATAAAATATTCGAGATATAACACGCACGGTGATTGGCTGGCTACCGTGTTATATCAGAGGACAAACGCTCGCGCAAAATCGTTTAATGTGGCTGACTATTTTGGTAGATAGTAAACAGAAAATTGAAAATTGAAACTTTTTTAACCTGAAATTTAATGCTGGTTTCAAAAGTGCAAAGAAAAATGGGGTGTCCCGAGATAATCACAGACACAAAACACAAAACAAACAGAACAATTTTTTACATTGTTCTAATAAACAGAATTGTCTTAATTGAGGGGTTTGGTAGAAAGATCTAACCTACAAACCAACACGGGCTAGTGCATTAGATATATGTATAGAAACAGGGGGGAGGGGTGGGGTGTAAATTGGTAACCTATAAACCAACATGGGCTAGTGCATTAGGTATATGTATAGAAACAGGGGGAGGAGTGGGGTAGAAAGTGCTAACCTATTAACCAACACGGGCTAGTACATTAGGTATATGTATAAAAACAGGGGGAGGGGTGGGGTGTAAAGTGGTTACCTATAAACCAACACGGGCTAGTGCTTTAGGTATATGTATAGAAACAGGGGGAGGGGTGGGGTGTAAAGTGCCTAATGCACTAGCCCATGTTGGTTTAAAGGTAACCACTTTCCATCCCAGCCCTCCCCCCTGTTTCTATATACATACCTAATGCACTTGCCCATGTTGGTTTAAAGGTAACCACTTTCCAGACAGGTTTTAGACCTGATAAAACATGATCTACAAGTTTTTTGAACTGCTTCAAAAACTCATGAACAATTTATGAGATTTTGGTTCAACTGGAGCCACCATACACGTCACGTGCATGGACTTTTATACATCGATAGCAGTTCGTATGTACCTGTCATG